AGGAGGGAGGGGTGGGGGGAAGGTGTTTTTAAGATTTATTTTACTTCTCATTACCCTACTTTGATTTGATTGGTAATAAATTCAATTAATATCCCCAAGTCCAGTCTGTTTTGCCCGTGATGGTAATTGGTAAGTGATCTTTCCTGGTCCTTAACTCATGAGCCTTTCATTATATTTTCTCTCCCCTGTCCAGTTGAGGAGGGGAGTGATAGAGCAGCTTTGGTGGATACCTGGCATCCAGCCAAAGTTAAACCACCATGCAAGTAGGTGTCTACTTGCATGAAATGTTTAGAACACATCCTATGTCATGACAGCAGCCATGTTATTCTGAGGTTGTGTGTCCAAAAATGGCTTAGCCATTGTATTGAGAGAGGAAGGTAAGTTAGGGCTACACTGTCTTTAGTTCATATATAATGCAGGAGTGTGTGTGTGTGTGTGGTGTATTACGCCAGCAAACCAAAATGTTTTATGCAACTCCAACAAGCCTGGAATAGGCAAACCTAGCAAGTATACAAAATACATCACCTGTATTAAAAAAATAAATGAGAAAACACCATATAGCCATATCCAAACTATGTAAGAACATCCCCTTCCTTATAAACACATATACAAAAAAAAAAATCCATGTGAATATCCACTTGACTAGCAAGATTTGGGTCTTTAAACTTTGCAGATCTTCAAGGACCTGCAGAAGGTAACTGCTATGCACTTTAAATACTGTGCAGATCCACAGTGACAGAGGTACATGGTGACAATGAACCCAAAACTAGGACAGGAATTGTGACCCTCCTGTCTGAACTCCATGAATGGAAGAAATGGAAAAAAAGGGGGAAAAAACCAACATCAGCAGCAAACAAACCAGACCCCAAACTAAGATACCGTAGAACAATTATCACAGAATATGCCGAGTTGGAAGGGACCCACAAGGATCATCGAATCCAACTCCCAGCCCTGCACAGAACCATCCCCAAGAATCACACCATGTGCCTGAGAGTATCATCCAAATGCTTCTTGAACTCTGTCAGGTTTGGTGCTGTGACCACTGCCTTGGGGAGCCTGTTCCAGTGCCCAACCACCCTCTGGGTGAAGGACCTCTTTCTAATATCCAACCTAAACCTCCCCTGACACAACTTTAGGCCATTCCCTCGGGTCCTATCACTGGTCACCACAGAGAAGAGATCAGTGTCTGCCCCTCCTCTTCCCTTCACGAGGAAGTTGTAGACTGCAATGAGGTCTCCCCTCAGTCTCCTCCAGGCAGAACAGACCAAGTGATCTCAGCTGCTCCTCATACACTTCCCCTCAAGGCCCTTCACCATATTCATTGCCCTCCTTTGGACACTCTCCAATAGCTTAATATCTTTCTTATAACGTGATGACCAAAACTGCACACAATGTTCAAGGTGAGGCCAGTGCAGAGCAGAGCAGGACAATCCTCTCCCTCGACCGACTGGTGATGTTGTGCCTGATGCCCCCCCCAGACACGGTTGGCCCTCCTGGCTGCCAGGGCACTGCTGACTCATATTCAACTTGCCGTCGACCAGGACCCCCAGGTCCCTTTCCGTGGCACTGCTTTCCAGCATCATTTAAAAGTATTAAAACAGAATTGCTCAGAATTAACCGCTTCTTGAACAAAAGCTTTGGGCAAGATCTGTGACTGAGCGACGTGCTGAGCATTTCCCTGACAGAATCGTTGCTATGTTTACTGTTAGCCAGGCAACCCGCGGCTGAGGGCGAGAACTCGTGCTGTCCACGGCCAGACTCAGGGGCCTGGTGTTCACCGACTGCTGCCCGGTTTCAGCTGCCAGCTTCTTCCGAGACACCTCCCGACCAGCCAGCCAGGACCCCCAGGCAGTGAGATGAGACGAGAGGTTGAAGCCCTCCGGACAAGGAGCCCTCACACCCCACCCCCCACCCCCGCCGCAGACGTTTTTCTCTCAGTTCTTCATTACCTATCTCAACACCGTACTGCGAACTCGCAGTAGAGCCCTGGCTCCACCAGGGAGTGCTCTAACTCTCTGCGTGAGACGGAAGCAATAACACAAGAAAAACGAACACGACAGGAAAAATGCGCGCAAGCGGTGGAGGAAACCGCCGCCACGACTCGATTCGCGCATGCGCGGGGGCGGTTGTTTTTCACAAAGCTGTTCTTAAAGTGAGGTGTCAGCGTGCGGGCAGCTGCCTTTGTGAGGATATCGCAGCGCTGGGCGGCTGCCGCTCTCGCGGTTTTCTTAGTAATTCCAATGAAACGTTTGTAGGGGACACGCTGATCTTGTTGGCAGGCTCTTTACACAGCAGAGGCGTTGTTCAGTGTAAAGCGAAGATCGCATTTTGTATGAGACCTTGACTTTTTTTTTCTTTACAGTATATTTTTATACACTTTGTTATAAAATATGGTGCTGGGGAAGGTGAAGAGTTTGACAATAAGCTTTGATTGCCTCAGTGACAGCAATATCCCCGTCTATTCTAGCGGGGACACAGTATCAGGAAGGATCAGTTTAGAAGTTACTGGGGAAATTAGAGTGAAATCTCTTAAAATTCATGCAAGAGGACGTGCAAAAGTACGTTGGGCCGAATCTAGAAATGCTGGATCCAACACTGCCTATACACAAAATTACACTGAAGAAGTAGAGTATTTTAACCATAAGGACGTTCTAGTCGGGCATGAAAGAGGTAAGCTTTTCGCTTATTCATTCACTACATGCAGACATATTTCCAGAAAAAGACGCATCTTTGCTTGGTTTATCCCTTTTAAATATGCAGTGTCATAGCGTTCACTATTTCTAAAGATGAGGAAATGCCGGTTGCATTCTTATTGTTGATTATTTGAACGTTTACTTAAAAGCATGTTGAGGTGCATTTTCAAAGTACCGGAAAACAGGACTTTTAAAAAATACCTGCCTTTTAACAGTCTTTTCATAAGGATTTGCATTGTCTTTAATATATGTTTTTTAATATACAATGCCTTTTTTTTTTCTTAGTGATATTAGCGTGATTTGTTTCTCTATGTGGAAAGTAACTGTTAAAACCAGATATGCAGTAAGTTACTTTCTTGGTAGCATCCTATTGAATCGTAATTAAAACGTAACACTAGACTTTTTGACACATAATAGATACAGGTCTGACTTCCGGAATGATTCTTAAGGTTGGTTCACTATTGGCAGATAAAAGATTTCCTGTGGATTACTTTGACATACTATCACCACCTCACCCGTAATTTTCCATCTCTTCCTTTGTTCTAAACTAGTGTACTTGTAAATTACTTTCATTTTTTTTTATTCAACTCCTCTATGGGAGACCCAAATGTAAAAATCTGTCTGAAAGGCCAAATAAGAGGTCATGATTGTATGATTGGAGCATCACTTTTGAGTTGGGGAGTTCTGTAACCTGCACTCAATGAAAACCCGGTCTGCTAAGCCCCTATAGAAATGGAAAGTGCCTTGCAAATTCCCTTTATTTTGGGTATGGAAAAGGGGTATTACATTGCGAGCGAGATTGTGAGTCTTAAATTTGCTAATCTATTGTTCACATAGTTACGTTGTGAAAGTATAAGGGACTCTAAGCTTGTTACTTCTGAAGTTTCCATCCTTTGTTAGAAGCGGTTCAATCCTGTTTGGGACCAGTCCTGGGAAGAAGGGAGGGAGTATTCCTTCTCTCTGCAGATTGGTTGCACAGGTCAGGTGGCAGTGATGACTCAGTTCCTAGAACAAGAAAATGTTAAAACTGAGTACACAATTTGTTTGGGTGTTTCGGTGTGTTTTTTTGGTTGGTTGGTTTTTGTGGGGGTTTTTTGTTTGGGTTTTTTTTTTGGGGGGGGAGGGGGGCTGTTGTTTCTGGTTTGTTTGGTTTTTTTTTTAATATGAAGCATATTTACTGCAGAGATCCTCTGCAAATAGCAGTTGATATTGATTTCAATTATGTTACCGCGATGCAAGCAAGCTCGGGTCACTCATGAGGTGTCTTTCTAGCTTAAATGTTCTTTATAGTGCTGCCTTAGAAATAACTCTCCTGTGAAAATTCGTTCACCTCTGGCTTGCAGATGACAGAAACATGCAAACGTGCATGAGTCATTCATAGCAGGATGTATGCTTACAAGTAAGAAGGCGATCCCATGCTTCTTCCTGCTTAAGCAGCAGCAGTGCCTTTGCATGTGGCCTGTAGATCCAAATGCTGACCGCTATATTAGGTGCTTGGTTTTGGCTGGAAATGGAACAAAAGGTGGCAGGGAAGGGACAGATCTAACACCAGAAGCAAGACTGGTGCTGCATATACGGCACGTAAAATCTTAAGCAGTTGTCCCGGGACACCACTGCCCCTCCCTTGGCTGCAGGGACAGGACTGCGAACACTTGCTGCACAGAGTGGAGTTTAATTCTACGCCTCGTACCCTACCATAGTCCGGAAGGCCACTCCCTGTCTCCGCCTTGTCATTGGCATGCTGGGGTTTGTTAGCCTGTTGCTAAGGTGATGCCAGCCGCTGATTGTAGGGAGCTGGGACGTGTGGGGAAGTTCCTTTGCCTGCTCTCTGGTGTGTGCTGGGGGGCGGAGCGAAGGGGCTCCTGAGGGCACACCGTCTTTCTTGGGAAAGCCCATCTCTGGGGACAGACAGAAGTATTCGAGCTCCTGCCCCGCACATCCACTGGGCCAGCAAGGGGTTGTGAGCAGGGGCGGTCATTGGGACGCAGGGCTCTGCAGCCTCTTGCATCCCTCACTCGGTTATCTTTCCTGTCCCACGCCCCCGGCCAGCACTATCTGTAATCGCTTTTCAGTAATGGTCAGCACTATCTGTAATCGCTTTTCAGTAATGGTCAGCACATGCTCCTGAGAGAAGTGCAGGATTGGGGTGTCGCCTTGCACATAGCACGGGGCAAGCCAGCAGCATGGCCCTGTGGTATGAGGAGAGTGGATGGTGAGGCATGGGTGACACCCCTCCCTCGCTCGTTACCTCCGTGGTAGTCAGGCTAGGCTGCGAGCAGAGTTGCTGAGCAAATGCAGTGGGGTGTAATGTATACTGTATGTATACGAGTGGTTGGCAGGGGATGTGCTCACCCCTGTTTAGGCCAGTCCTCTCCTGCTCCAGCCTGGTCTGTGATTGACAGCTCAGTACTTGTTTACCACAGTTCTGCTGCTGCTGCTCAGGCTCAACGGGACTGCTGATCTGACAGGAAGGAAGTGAAGAAGGGATGAAAAAACTTATGCACAAGGAAAGATTATTATTTTTAATTAAAACCAAACCAACAAAACCCTCCAACTGTTTTTTAACAAAGAAAAAAAAAGCATTATACACATTGCTTTGTTCTTTCAGTGTATTGAAGATTCTTGTTTCATGACATTACATGCTGCAGATGCATTTGTGTAAATAGCGTTGTAGTATTTTTATATTTTTGCATAGGTTTGTTTCAGCATTTCTGGTGCACTAAAGAAATTGGAGCATCAGTACTTTTGTAGAACATTGGGAACTAAAAAAATCTTAGAATGTACCAGTGTTCCTTCATGATGCTTCAGACTATTAAGAACAGGAAGTGTCTTTTGGATAATCCCATTATATGTGCCTTTATTACGCCAACCCTATTGTATATGAGATGCTCAATTGTTTTATCTAAATAACTTTCTATTCTGTTGGAATCAACTTGGGTTTTTTTCTGGTTTCATGGCAATTATATCAGAACAAACCACAAATTTGTTGGAGCATTTACAGCAATACAAGGAATCATGACTGTAAACCAAGGTCAGCTTTCTCATTCAAATTAGGAGATGTTTGGGTCTTTGCTATCCAAACAAGATTGAGCTAAAGTTTGAATTTTTGATACATTAGCTCTAAACAGCATTAATTGGACAACTTGCCACTTCTAGTGCCCCTGAATTTGTTTGGTACCTTCTAGGTGGTGCTTGTGCACTTTTTAAAAAATCAGTTTTTGGACACTTACTAGGCAGGAGATAGGAGGAAGCTGAATTACTAAATGTAATCGATTAAGGTAGCAGACAATGCTAAGATCACAATACTATTAGAGAGCTCTATTTCATTTTAACTAGAAATCATATTGGAAAACAGTTTCCATTACAGATCTTTCAGGCAGACCTTGAAATGGCAGCAGTTACAACTATGTCAGTACTTGGAATCAAGATCATAAATTAAAACAAGTTAAATTCTGCTTTTATGTCAGGTGAGTCTTGGAATCTCACCTAACCTTAATAATTCTGCAGCCATACATCTAGCAGTTAATACAAATGGACTGGAGAGACTTGTTTCTGGGACACTGTATTCTTAGTATTGTAAAGAATGTATAAATCCCTCCTATTCTGGAAAAGAAACCTATATAATAAACTGTGTAAAATGTTCATAGGTGGAATAGCATATTGGGTTTTTCCCTCCTAGATGATGACAATTCTGAAGAAGGCCTTCACACCGTTCATTCAGGAAGGCGTGAATATGCATTCAGCTTTGAGCTTCCACAGATGTAAGTACTTATATTCAGTACACAGCTTGTGTGAGAGAAGGCCAAGAGACATATCTGTTTAAGAAAAATTCTTGTAGGTGGAGGGGAAACCTTTCAAATGGTAGTAGGAGATGTGTGCAGACACGCAATGGAGGACATAATTTCATTAAACTGAAGAGGTTGTTTTTAAACTGGTTAAGAGGTTTTCACAAAACAGGAGCTCATTGTTGCCCAGTTGGTTACCGTTTCTTTTGACTGAGGTCTCTTGGCTCCTTATGTCTTGTAGTATTTTACCCCTTCACAGGAGAAGGGAGGGGAATTTGTGTCGAGTCCTGCAGAGTGGCTGAAGTATCTTCTAAATGAAACAAGATTTTACTGGAGCCATGCAGGCCATCAGAACTAGTGATAACAGCTTAACTGTTTGGGCTCAGTCTGAAACAGACGTGGCAAGCTTAACTGCATTTGAACAAAATAAGATTTTTATTTTTTTCCCCCTACTTCAAATAGCATTTATGTATTCAGGCTGACCTTTAGACAAAAAAGCCAGGATGGAAATAAGCAAATGGATGGGTGGATGAAGCAAGAAACATTCCCATACTTAATCCCGCTTGTCTCAGAAATCAAAGGTGAAGCAAGAGTGATAGCAGAAGTCTTAAGATAAATCACTCACACACACACAAAAGTTTGAGGTGTCTAATGTATACATTGTGAAGGGAAAATTTATACATAGAGGAGTTACCAACATGGGAATTAGCTAAAACACAAGTTACCGGAAAATTAAATATGAAGGAACAGAGAGAGTCTGGAAATAGATGAAAGAAGAGAGGTGGGAGGAACCTTTTACTGTAAAAGCCAAGTGCCAAAGTCATTAAGGTTAAAAAAAGTTGGCAGAATATTAGACTGATACCTAATATTAAAGCTAATAAACCATCTGCTTATTAGAGGGACTGGCTTTAGCAGAACCTGCAGATGATAAATGCTTTTATGGATCAGTTTCAGTAAATAGCAAAGGGCTTTACAGTAGATATTATTAGAACACTGAAGAAGACCCATATATATGGAAACTTTTAGAAGTCAATTTAGGGTTCAGATGAAAGTCTCGTCTATAAGAAGTGATAAGGATGATACTGATATTCCCTTGAGTTGGAAGAGATGTTCAAATATGACCAGTAAAATAGCACAAGAATTGATTAAAACACTAAAGATCTTTTCAAGTGACTTGAAGGAGTAACTATGAAACCATCTTTGATAATACTGGAAAAAATGAAGACTGGTAATAAAAGACCTGAAGAACACTAGTTTGACACTGCCTCCTTACCATTTCTTGCTATTTTGTATCCATAGAATATTTCTAAAATTTATTTAAAACAAAAGCAATGTGGTGGGTTGACCTTTGCTGCCTGCCAGCTCTCCATGCAGTTGCTCTCTCATTCCTCCTCATCAACAGGGCAGGGAGAGAAAATAAGATGGACAAGCTTGTGGGTCGAAATAAAGGGCAGTTTAAGAAGAAAAAACAAAAGCTGTAGTCATCCCTGCCCCACTATATGGGCTGTTATGAGGAAAGTTAACTCCATCCCAACCAGACCCACTGCAACCAAATGCAAAGCAATAGTGAAAAACACAATATGCTGACTGGCCTTACTGATTTTGCTTTAAAGGATACTGGGGCAGGATGAAACGTTGAAGGCTGATTAGAAAATTCTTTCATTTGCATTATTAAGAAAAAAAAGTAAACATTTCAGATGTGCAAATAGAGATGTCAAACCTGTAACAGAAAGAATCATTCTAGTAAATTAATAGCACAGCTAGTATTATTCTATATAGAAGTTAGGGAGGGAAGCTTTGCCCATAACTTATCTTTTATTATGATGCATTTCAAACATAGCACAATATAAAAATTCTTCCTGGAGATTAAAGGCAGAAAATGTTAGGAAAAGACAAGTTACGGTTAACTGGACATGAGTGGAATATAAAAATCTTACATTCTTCATCTTATGATGTTGGAGTGGGGGGGAAAGGAGGAGGGAGAAGAGGATAAAAGGGTAATGCTGAAAGGTTTGAAGTCCTTTTCTGCATCTTTTTTTTCCCCTCTCCAACTCCCCAAAAGGACTTTCTTTCAGTGTTCAGAGCAGAATAGTCTTTATCTTTTTTATATGTGTGTGTGTGTGTATATATATATATATTTAAATGATCCCAGAGTAAAGGAAAATTAGATGATACTCAAAAACTCTCTATTCAGAACTCTAAATTGAAATATTTAACTACCGTACTTAAGGCAAAACAAACTACAAAAGCACTCAGTTATAGCTAAACCACTTAGATACCAGTCAAGTAAATAATACACAGCTATTTACAAAATACAATGTCCAAAACAATAATTGGATGGTACTAATGCTAATTTTTTTTGGTGGTCTTAATTTGACCTTAAAAGGGCGTGCTTTATTCTACACTTGAAAATGGCCTCTTAAGTCTAAAGGAAATGTGTATTCTTCTGGCACTTTCTAGTACAATTCTTTAATTGATTCTTAAAACTTCTACAAAACTACTGTTGAATGAATTGGACATGATATTTTTTCCCAACTTTGACATTATGTTTTTCTGAGATGTGGAAACTTTGCAAATAAGTTATGCTTATTATGATACATTAAAAATAACAGTTCTACATACTAATTCCAAATCTGATCAACTGCATTGTTATTGGAATGAGAGAAAAACTTTACTCAACTTTGACCTTTGTCCTGCACAGACCACTTGCTACCTCATTCGAAGGCAGACATGGCAGTGTGCGCTATTGGGTGAAAGCTGAATTGCATAGGCCTTGGCTTCTGCCAGTAAAATTAAAGAAGGAATTTACAGTCTTTGAACATATAGATATCAACACTCCTTCATTACTGGTAAGAACTGACAGAATTCCTCATTCCTTTTCTGGCATAAAAATAGAGTATAATAACCGAAACCACATCAACATGCAATTTTACCTAATATTTATTTGCTAGTTTAAGTACAGCTCTTCTTTTAAGTGTTATATCAGTTTAACAACGCTTCAGTTGCTGGCATTTTGAAGGCTAAGTTATCCTACACTTGGAGTTGCTTGTTTTTTGCAAAACATAAAATGCATTTGTCAATCTAAACTGATACCACTAAATTGTAGACTCTCATTAAGGAAGAAAATTTGGTGAACTGTTCCTCTGCAATTATAAATAAAGAATAATCTATGAAAGAACAATGGAAGTCTTAATATTTTAGTGAGGGACTGCTAACTTAAAAATGCAAAGTAAAAAATTTACTGCAGTGCATAACTGATAATTTCCACATGGATAATTTTGTACTGATGGGGAGAAATTACCACAATTCTGTATAATCCTTTCCTGAAATTTCATTTTATTAAAATAACTTTAATATCTCAACTGCTTCCAGTGAGGATTTGATTTCAGTCTGATCTAGTAATCCTTTATTTTATCCCTTTCTCAAATTTTAATCTGGAGGGGAAAAAAATTTAGAAGTCCATTGAAACAGGTTTCTTGTGTGTATGGGCGAAAAATTAACTTGCAAAAGGACCTCGCACAAACTCCGTGAAAATCGAAGGTATCTCATTTGACTTTAATAGGCTTTGGATCAAGCCCTAAATCCTGGTGTTGTGTAAAATAAGTCTTTGTAACATAGATGAAACAGGATCGTTCAGAAACAGAGGAAATAGCAGGAGTCAAGATTACAGTAGTTTAGCTTAGTTATTTTTTTTCTGAAATGCAACTTAATGGAAAGTGCGAAGATGTTCTAATTTACTGTTAGTTAAATGAAAAGCTCTGCAGCATTATGTTGGGATGTGTAGGCTATGAAGCCTTTTGTTTTAAGCTATACAGTATTTTTTTTTAGTATTGTTTTAATTGTGTCTGTAGTGTGGAGGACTGCAGAAAAAGCAATACTAATACAGCAGTGGAATTAGGACAAACTTTGTATCTAGGTAATGCTATTTAAATTGCTTGAGACTTTTCCTATCAAAGTAACTTTGTTTATCAAAATATGTACTAATAAGCACATTATGAAAATTATTATTTTCCTGTGTTGGTTTAAATACCTGAAGGGATTAATGGAGCTCCTAATTTGATGGACAATGCTTTTCCTCTTCTTGCAGTCACCCCAAGCAGGCACAAAAGAAAAGACTCTATGTTGTTGGCTTTGTACCTCAGGCCCAATATCTTTAAGTGCCAAAATTGAAAGAAAGGGCTACACCCCAGGTATGTGATAGAATTAATTATAGGATATGTTTTTTCTTCCTCTTTAAAGCTAGAGTCCATACTTACTGTTTTTATATAAATGAAACATTAAGGATATTTTTACCACATCAGTCTGCATTTAGCAATCTTCTCAGTATACTCTGTAAACTAAGACAGCGCTACTTGTATCTCTAGATTGTTCAAGGACCTCATCTGTTAGACTGGTATTTTTTTGTGTGTGTTGAGTTTTTTTCTTTTTCCTTTTAGAACAGCTCATGGGGATCTTGTTTCTATTAGCATCAGTGGATGTAGGGTTTTTTCAGGTAGAGCAGTGATAACAGCATCGTTATAACAGTATAAAGAATGTGAAAGTTTGCTTAAACTGCTTTGTAAATATAAAGAGAACTTGAAATTCGGGTGTGTTTGTTTGGTTTTTTGGTTTTTTTTTTTTTGGTTTCAGGTGAATCAATTCAGATCTTCGCTGAGATTGAGAATTGCTCTTCCCGTATGGTGGTGCCAAAGGCAACCATTTACCAAACACAGGCATTCTATGCTAAAGGGAAAATGAAGGAAGTCAAACAGCTTGTTGCCAACCTCCGTGGGGAATCCTTGTCATCTGGCAAAACAGAAACCTGGAATGGCAAACAGTTGAAAATTCCACCTGTTTCCCCTTCAATCCTTGACTGTAGTATAATCCGTGTGGAGTACTCACTCATGGTATGTTGGGTGGTCTGTTTCACTCGCGAGAGTGAGTAGCTTCCAACATGCCATACAAATGTCTAGCACAGCATTTTGTGATCATTAGTTATGAAAGAAATATATTAATGTTGTGACGGAGGTCTGGTAAGTAAATTTAGTTTAAATCGTGCAAGTTCTTAAAGCAATTGTCTGTCAACTAAGCAAGCATTTAATGAGTAGACTGCATTTCCATGTGAGGGCTCATGTGAAGACTTCTTAACTTGAAGAACTCATGTCTCCATAGGGGCATGGGCCCTAAAAGGGGCTATTGGAAACAAGCTCCTCATGAAAACTTTCATAGAAAGATAACTTAAGACTAATACTTATGAAATGCTAATAAAACCTCATGTTTTAATCATACACTTGTTTCATTTTTCTTCAGGTATATGTTGATATTCCAGGAGCCATGGATTTATTCCTTAACTTACCATTGGTCATTGGTACCATTCCTCTACATCCATTTGGTAGCAGAACATCAAGTGTAAGCAGCCAGGGTAGCATGAACATGAACTGGCTTGGTCTAACACTGCCTGAAAGACTAGAAGGTAATTTGACAATACAAATCCCAATCAATTTGCTAGTCTCTTGATTTTTATCTACCTTATTCATTGCAGTCTTGCTAACAGAGTCAAATTACATCCTTTTATAATAAAGTCCACAGGAAATCTGTTGTGGATGTTTCTACACCTGCTTGTTCTGTGTAGAAGAAGAGTTTCTTCCCTTCCTGCCTTTCTGTCTCTAGGACAGGCAGTGAAATCTAGCTGCCTTGGAAAGTGGCAGAAATGAAAGCACAGGATACCATTGTATCTGTGCACAACTTCATTACTTCTACCTCCAGTATCCCAATTGCATCCTTGGTTATAAGGCATTTCAACCCATAATAGCAGTTTCTGGCATCTCTCCCCAGCCTTAGTAGCCAAGGCTTTGTGAAAAGATAACGTTCTTTTCCATGGGAAATCTCTTATGACCAAAGAAACAATTATGTATTTCCTTCCTTCTCTTTTTGCATATCTAATATCCTGCTTTTTTAAGTACAAATCCTGGACCTGGAGACTTTTGGAGTTCAGAGGACTGCAATGTTCTCTTATTCCTACTTGTACAGAAATAAATTATCTTTGGTATGATTTAAATTTTAAAGGGATAATTAAGCCACAATAAACAGTGGTCAGTCTGGTTTTGAACATAAGCTTAATATTAGAATAAAACAAAATAGTCTCCCATTTTTGTTTAACAATTTTAAAGTCATCATTTATCTGCTGGTGAATCTTTCAGTGATTGAAGTTTACTATTTATCATGTTATATATTTTGTCATGCATAAGAACTTTTTGTTTGAACTATATGTACCTTCTCCCTCCAGCACCTCCTAGCTATGCAGAAGTGGTCACAGAGGAAAACATACAGTCCGGCCTTGCACCTGTGGCTGCTTTTGATGATTTTCAGAGAGCACTGCAAGGACCGTTATTTGCATACATCCACGAGTTTCGTTTTCTGCCTCCTCCCCTATATTCAGAAGTAGGTATATCTGTCAGAATATGATGATTTATATATTGTTTGTTACTGATTGTTATAGCAACCACTAAACTGTTTTGCCTGCATGTGTGTGTAAATTCTGTGGATGTAGGGCTTTCAGAAGTTTCATGTAGAAAAGTGATGTATTGGTATTAATTTATGACTTAAATTTTCTGAAGTGCACAGTTCAACACTTTTGGCCTTTACAGAACTAAAAATGCAGCCACTGAATAACCATGATTGAGATGCAAATTTCAAAGCTTTTCATGTTTGTCTTTTTCAAGAAAAAGCAATGATATAGGACAAATGAAAAAAAAGTGTCCTCTGGCCAAAGTTTTTTTGAATTTACCTACTTTAGGAAAATAGCACTGTGTAGCACAACACTCCCCCCCCCCCAGGCTTGAAACGCAAAAAAAGGCTATATGAAGTTAACTGATGTAATGTTGTCCAAAAGATGCAATGTACACTTAAACTATTCTTACCATCCAGTTTTTGAGACCTAAGTTATCAGGCTGTACCCTTTCTTTCTCCTATAGAGAGGAAGAAGAGTTAAGGCTTAGAACATATGAACTTTTTGAAGTTCATATGAAGTTTTGAAGGATATTTGAGAATTAACTACTTTAAAAGTAGAACGATTTTTTTATTGATAAGTTTCTGTCTTTTCAAGCAAAACTTCTCTGCTTCTCTCAATAAATTTCTTAAATTATCTTTCCAGTGATATGTGTCAAGTCATCTTTTTTGTATAAATCAGATAATTCAAAAGACTTCTGTGTGAGTAAAGGAGAAATTAAGTTTTATAGTAGTTATTCATGCTTATCCTAAAATTACCATCAACCTGTAGTTTAAAGACTTCCACTGTATCTGATATTTCTATTAATGTTTATCCAAAGTTTTGTCTAAATAGAAGTTTTTCAATTATTTCAATAACCTTTGGACTCGAAATTCCACACATCATTATAATTGTCTTAAACTTGTGATTTTTTTATTTTTATTTCTAGCAATTGATTCTAAAATGCACTGGGTTGTTGTGGCCTTTATTTTTTTGTTGTTGTTCTGGGGTTTTTTGGTTGGTTGGTTGTTTTTTTTTCTTTTTCTTTTGGTTAGATTGATCCAAACTCAGATCAGCCCACAGATGAGATACCATCTTGCCCCTCTTGTTGAAGGAATCCATAAAAAGCTGACTTGACATGGGTTTTGAATCACACCTGCTATGTTGAAGATCGAGGTGTCATAGTGGAGACTTGCTTTTAAAGGAAATGGTATTGCTCTTGCCTGTACGGTGAATAAATGAAAAGAACCTCTGATCATGCTTTGATGCCTATAGCACATCATAGGACTGCTCCACATGCTTGAAAACCTGCAGCTCCCTCCCTTAAATAGTGGCACATACTAGGAACAGCCTTACTAGCATACAGTCATGTGTTTCAAAACACTCAAACCATGTTGTAAGAGAGGAATGGCTGCTTTTTATGATTCTATGAAAATTTGCACATGCTTATTGCTTATGTTATGCAGTTAAGTGTCACTACAACTTATTCTCATTTATTATGGACTGTTGTTACCACCCCCACCTGCCAATTGTTTGTGATCTGCACAACAAGGAACAAAAGAAAGCTTTGACCCAAAAAAAAAAAAAGGTGATAAAGACTGACAAATGCCCTGACCCTTTTCTTTTTTTTTTTTTTATTTTACGTAGCCTGGACTTTACCTGCATATGCACATGCTCAGAATTGTCCTAGTAGGCTGATCATGTATCACCTCTTCAGCTTGGATCCTATTGTGGATTTATTTACAAACATCACATGCCTTCAAAGTCAATCCTTGCTGTATGTTTTGCAGCTGGCTGTAGTAGACAAGTAACAGATATATGGGGGTGGGGGAAGAGATAACACAAGGAAACTAATAAGAGACTTTGTCAAGATTGTATACCTTCTTGATTTCTTTTAAGAATTTGTTGCCTTTCTGCTATTATTGCGAAGCAATGTTTTGTTGTCAGCTGCCTAAAGATCACTTAATCTCAGGTGAATTCATCACTTGCCAAACTGTTAGAATGCTATTTGTTTTGTTATGTTGCACTGTTATTTATACTGTTTTGTGTTTGCGTTTTGATTTTGTTCTTTGAGGGGAATTTTGAATAGGGACATGCATAAAACTTAAAAAGTGAAAGCAGCACCAGCAGATACTAGCAAAGTGTGAAAAGAACTTTAAAAGGGGATAGTCATATGCTGTCCAGGGTTCATGGGCAGAGATATCTTAACTATTAGGAATGGGAAGGAGAAGGTTGGTTTGGTTTGCATTGGTTTTTATTTAAATAATATGTAGTTACCTAATCACCAAAAATTATATATATAATGAGTCTCCAATAGAAAGTATAGTTCAGATTGCAAGAAAAGTTTGAACTATGGCAACTAAGCAACAGCTCAGTCTGCACGTTTTGTATTATCTTCAGGGTTTATGATACTCTGTCATAGAATCGTAGAATACCAGGTTGGAAAGGACCTCAAGGATCATCTGGTCCAACTTTTCTTGGCAAAAGCATGGTCTAGACAAGGTGGCCCAGTACACCTAAAGAGCGTCCAATTTTGGGGAATCCACCACTTCCCTGGGGAGATTATTCCAATGGCTGATTGTTCTTAATGTGAAAAATTGTCCTCTCGTGTCCAATCAGAATCTCCCCAGGAGTAACTTGTACCCATTACCCCTTGTCTTTTCCATGTAACTCCTTGTCAAAAGGAAGTCTCCATCTTCTTTGAAACCACCCTTTAAATACTGGAACATGGTGATAAGGTCTCCCCTAAACCTTCTTTTCTCATGGCTGAACAAACCCAGTTCTCTCAGCCTTTCTTCACATGGCGGTCTTCCCAGTCCTTGGATCATCTTTGTGGCCTCTGCACCCTCTCCAACCTGTCCACATCCTATTTGCATAGCAGGGACCAAAACTGAACACAGTATTCCAGGTGAGGCCTGACAAGCACTGAGTAGAGTGGGAGAGTGACTTCTTTATCTCTGCTGGTGATGCCCTTCTTGATGCAACCCAACATCCTGTTGGCTTTCTTTGCTGTAGCAGCATACTGTTTGCTCATATTCAGCTTGTTGTCCACCAGGACCCCCAGGTAGATCCCAGCCTGTGCTGCATTCCTGGATTATGTTTTATGAGGTGAGTCTTTGTTGAACTTCATAAGGTTCTTGTTAGCACACTCTTCCAGCCTATCCAGGTCTTTCTGCAAGGTGGATCTTGCTTCTGAAGTGTCCAGTTCCCCACTCAGTTTGATATCATTGGCGAACTCTGTCAGAATACACTTGATCTCATCATCCAGATCACTTGTGAAGATATTAAAGTGTCAGACCCAGTATTGATCCCTGGGGGACTCCACTTGTGAAAGATTGCCAGTTTGAAAAGGAGGTATTTACCACCACCCTCTGGGTGTAGCCTGTCAACCAGTTCCCCACCCACTGTACAGAGTACTTGTCTAGACCATAACACATAATTTTCTCTAGGAGGAGGCTGTGGGAAACCACATCGAAAGCCTCGGAGAAATCCAGGTAGACAATGTCCACCACTTGCCCCACATAATCGAGCAGGTTGCTTTGTCATAGAAGGTGATCAGGTTTGTCAAGCATGATTTGCCCTTGGTGAATCCATGCTAGCTTTTCCTGATCCCATGCTTCATTTGACTTCTGATAGCACCCAGGAAGATTTGTTCAATAACTTTCCCAGGGACTGAAGTAAGACTGATGGACCTATAATCTCCTGGATCCTCCTTTAATCCCTTCTTGTAGATGGGGGTGATATTAACCTTATTCCAGTCTCCTGGGAAGTCCCCTGTTCTTTGTGACTTCTCAAAGATTATGGAGAGCAGCCTTGCAATGGCATCAGCCAGCTCTCCTAACACCTTTGGGTAGATATTGTCAGGGTCCATCGATTTGTGGGGGTCAAGCTCCTGTAACAGTTCACATACTGACTCTTTCTTCATTGACAGTAGGTCTGTGTTTGCATCAACCTGGATTTTTGTTCCTAAGACCTGGGGCCCAAGGATGTTGGGTGAAGAAGACACAGGTTAAGAAAGTATTGAGAATCTCTGCCTTTTCAACGTTGTTGGTGACTGATTAATCTCTCCTGTTTAACATCAGACCAATATTTTCCTTCTGTTTCTGATTGTTTACATACCCAAAGAACCCTTTCTTGAGGTTTCTCTGGCCAGTTTCAATTCGAGCTGAACTTTTGCTTTTCTAACTGCTTCTCTGCATGCCCTGGCAGTGCCTTTGTAGTATTCAACAGGTATTCCTCTGCTTTTCCATCCCTGGTATGCTTCTCTTGGTTTTGAGCAGACTCAGAGGCTTGCAGTTAAGCCAGGGAGTCTCTTGCTCTGCCTACTTCTTTTACCTTAAAAGGGGATGAATTGCTTTTGTGCTTACAGGAAAGCATTCTTGGAAAAACTCCCAGCCCTCACTAGCACCTTTATCCTCCATGGAAGCTTCCCATGGAACCCCTTCCAACTGAGCTCTGAGCAAGCTGAAGTTTGCTCATTTAAAACTTTAGTCTTAATACTAACCTTTAGCATGCTCAGCCAGCTCCCTAGCTCTGCAGTATTGTGATCACTGCAGCCAAGGCTATCACTGAGATGTTACAAAGCAGGTTTTCTTGGTTTGTGAGTAGCAAGTCTGCCAGTGCCTCGTTTCTGCTTGGCATATCTAACATTTGTGTGAGAAAACAGTCCTCTGTGCATTCCAGGAACTTGATGGTTGATATGTGAGCTGCTGTATTGTTCTTCCAACAAATGTCTGGGTAATTGAAGTCACCCATAAGAACCAGGTTCTGTTGACCCGAAGCTTGCTTAAGTGACCCAAATATTGCTCCATTGGTCTTATTGTCTTGGTTTGGAGGCCAGTAGCTGACTGTAAAAATAATAAGACTAAAACTATTATAAAATTGGACCAGAGTATCAGTGTTATCAGCCATACTGAAATTCTTTTGCTGAGAATTGCTCTGATTATTTCCTGGGCTAGTCCTGAGAGCTTTAAAACAAACAATTTATAACAAAAAATTTCCGTTTTAGGGCCAGTTCTCTTCAACATCTTCATAAACGACTTGGATGCAGGACTCGAAGGTATACTAAGAGCTGTTGACTCCCTCGAAGGCAGGGAGGCCCTGCAGAGAGACCTAGACAAATTAGAGGGCTGGGCAATCACCAACCATATGAAGTTCAACAAAGGCAAGTGCTGGATTCTGCACCTGGGATGGGGCAATCCTGGATGTACATACAGACTGGGGGAACAAGAGTCTGGAGAGCAGCTCTGCAGAAAGTGACCTGGGGGTCCTGGTCGATGGCAAGTTGAATATGAGTCAGCAGTGCCCTGGCACCCAGGAGGGCCAACCATGTCCTAGGGTGCGGTGCATCAGGCAAAGCATCACCAACTGGTCAAGGGAGGGGATTGTCCTGCTCTGCACTGATGTGGAGAGCACCTTAAACATTGTGTGCAGTTTTGCTCACTGCAATATAAGAAAGATATTAAGCTATTAGAGAGTATCCAAAGAAGGGCTGCAAAGATGGTGAAGGGCCTTGAGGGGAAGCTGTATGAGGAGCGGCTGAGGTCACTTGGTTTGTGCAGCCTGGAGAAGAGGAGACTGAGGAGAGACCTCATAGCAATCTACAACTTCCTCATGAGGGGAAGCGGAGGGGCAGGCATTTATCTCTTCATTCTGGTGACCAGTGACAGGACCCAAGGGAATGGCCTGAAGCTGTGTCAGAAGAGATTCAGGTTGGATATTAGGAAAACGTTCTTCACCCAGAGGGTGGTTGGCCACTGGAACAGGCTCCCCAGGGAAGTGGTCACAGCACCAAGCCTGACAGAGTTCACAAAGTGTTTGGACAACGCTCTCAGGCACATGGTGTGATTCTTGGGGTGTCCTGCGCAGGACCAGGAGTTGGACTCTGATGATCCTTGTGGGTCCCTTCCAACTCAAGATATTCTGTGATTCTATCAAACAAACAAAAAATCTAACAACTTTAAACATACATTCATCTAGAATGTGGGAAATTATATAGAAAAAGCACTGACCCCTTGAACATATCCTAAAGAAGAAAAGAATGATGGAACCATTAGATCTGATCAGTGGTTTTTATGCTAGAGATTTGTAAACATAAATTTTCTTTTCAGAA